AGTCCTGTAGGAAATTCTGAATATTGGGTATGCTAAAGAGATGTATGAATGGCCAACAGCCTCTGCACATATTTTTAGACAACACTTGACCTACAAACCTACAAGCGAATGGATAATCACAACAGTCCTAACAGCCAAGTATCTTGGCTTAGTTATGACCTCACTCTTCCATTGAAATTGCATTTGAGCCATAGAACTTTGATTAAATTAATGTTATTTCCTAAACTTATGAGATCTATAAAATTTTGCCATATGAAGCAGGATAATTTTTTTTCTAATATAACTTACATGTTGTGTATCAGTCTAAATAATGCACTATCTTGACTGAGAAGCAGAGAAAATTCTGTTGCTTCTGTGTATAGGCACTTTCGGTGTTTATCTAAAAGGTACTTGGCCTTCCTAGTTCTCAGTATAATTTTCTGATGCATGAAAATCACCCAGAGCATCTCAGTTTTACCAGATATATTGAAAAAGAAAAGTTCCTTAATCCTTAGACTCCTAAGGCATACCTAAATGCAAGTTATCACTTAGTCACTTGACTAATAATTCAGAAATGTAGACAATATTTGACATGAAAATAGACATTCCATTTATTTTGTCACCAATGTTGTACAACCTAAATGGATTAGCAACCTTTTTTTTGCTTATAATAAACTCTATAACTTTCATAATAATGAGAAGGAGTAAAGCAGAAGATAATACAAGATACACAATAAAATTTTGCTTTTGAAATGTGTTTTCAAACTCACACTTGAATACGGGTATATATGAGGGGGATTTTAAACAAAATATTATAGCAGAAACTGTGACAAAAATATAAGTGATTTGGTAGAAATTACATGAAGTCAAAGATATAGATTAAAGAACTATCTCATTCTCTAAATTTTTATACAGTTTTACTATGAGACTTGGCTGATATTGACTTATTAGTTGAGAAAAGCTATTTAGCTTTTCTAGACTTTAGTTTTTTCATTTGAATATTAAAGAGGTGGGATTAGATAATTTCTAAAGACCTTCCCAACTTTTATTATTACATTAATATGTGATTATTAGTTACTTGAAAACTATCTACTTTTTCTACATTTGCCCACTTTTTAATTTTTCCATCCCAGACTCTTAGCATCTCAAATAGATTCTTAACAGCTCTCCTGAACCTTCTGTGGGAACAAGGAAGTAGTCTAGAGGTGGGTTTTAAGAGACTTCCATGAATACAATGAGAAAATAGGTCCATTACCTACAATATTTCATTTAATCAGCACTGTTGAAAAACAAAGCATTTCACTTTAATTTTCTGAATAACTGACACCTATTTTATTGAACACCAAATTTTTGTTTAGTTTAACCTTTGCCTTAAAGAAAGTCTCTAAATTGTGCTATATATTTCAATGCCTTTTAAACAGAAACTATTACATTTTTTTTTTCATTTCATGAAGATTCAGAAGCCCTTTTCTTTCTTTTTTTTTTTTTTTGTCTTTTTCCGTGTCCGGCAACGGATCGCAACCCTCAGTGTCACCCCCGTACCGGACCGGGACCGGCAACGGGATCGCAACCCTCAGTGTTGCTCCCGCGCCTCGCTCAGCCAGTGAGCGGGAACCGGTCTGTATGTGAGATCCGAACCCTCAGGCGGGAGCGCCGCCGCGCTTCCCAAGCGGCGCACTATAGCAGTGCGCCACCGGGCCGGCCCTCAGAATCACTTTTCTAAACATCTGTTATTACACAGGAAATCCTTCAGGGCCAATTTAGTTGTGAAGGCTCTTATTGAGGATTCATTGGTAGCAAATGACAGAAACTTAACTCAAGCTGGCTTAATAAAAGAAATTTATTAGCTCACCTAAATGAAAAGTAGCCCCTTCCAGATGTACAAACAATGTGGTAGTTACTTTGGAACTTTGTCTTCTCTCTTTCCATATTGAAAATCTGCTTCGCTCTGTGGTCATTTCATTCTTTGCAAGGCTTGTCTTGTGTGTCACAAGGATTTTCAATAGCAAGTCTATGTTTAAGAACCCTCCAATGGGCCTGGTAAACACTCCATGCTGACTCATTTACCTGGTGTGGGTCACATGCTCATGCCTGAAACCATCAATGTGACTAGGGGAAGGAGTCCCCTCATTGACCCGGGCTGTCCTCATCTCTGGAGCATTGGTGAGGCATGGGAGTTGGGGAGGTGAGAATGGCAGTCTCATATGAACCACGTGGATAGAAAATAGGGGAGGCATTGATTTCACCAAAGAAAATTAGTATGCCTTTACCAAAAAAAGGGAGAGAAAGGTTCTTGGCAGGCAAAAACTACTGTTACCCCCTTTGCAAATATATTTATCCCCACATTTCACAGTCTTTGATTGCTGTCTTTCCCATTTCTTTCACTGTAAGCCATCACTCATGCTGTTCACAGTTTGCCTGTACCACAGCAATATTTTCCTATATTTTAATTAATAACATCTTCTGAGGGTTTAAAAATCAGATAAGTGAACTTATTAGAATTGTTTTCAAAGTAAGAGTTAATGGGCTCTAAGTGAGGCATTAAAAACCTCTCTGTAAGGAGTATAAACTTTCTACCAGGGATTTCATGACATTTCTCATAGCTCTTCATAGATCATTTTTGCATATTTTCTGATTTCTTTGCCAAAACCGACTTCTTAATAGGGGACATAGTATTATAATTTTAAGACCCAATGACTTGGAATGGTAAATACCATGAACATGGTTGATTTAAGTAAAGGTAACATTTTTGTGATTTTCCTAATTTTAAGTGCATTTCTCAAGTGGGACAGGTAGTTTAAATGCTTTTGTGATCATGGTATCTCCCCTACCAGGTACATATTAAATGCTCTTTTGGAAATGGAAGCACAGCAGAGAATAGAACTGATCAGTTGTTTTACTGGACTTACTAAAATTTAGACTGTTATTTCACTTTACCTTTTCTTTCTGCAGTACTTCTCTGATCTCATATAGGTACTTTAGCATCCATGGTGGAGATTATGGGGGAATAGGGAAACTTTTTTGGAACACAAAAGTATATAAATTCCCACGGATAGCGTGTACTGTATTACATACCAAATTTTGCTTGTTTTTGCTTAAAAGGACCATAATAACACTAATAAAAGAAGTCCTCAAAGGCTTCATTTTAACCAACAGTTTATGTCTACTAGAAATTATCATTTATACTTGGCAACTATTTAAAAATATTCTTCATAAGTGGCAGAATTGGAATTGGCTGATTTTGAGGTTTTTTATTTTTGTTTTTGTTTTCATTTCTTTTGGTGGCTGGTGGGTAAAGGATTGAACCCTGGACCTTGGTATTATGATTTTGAGAATTTCATAAAACAGATGATTCTACTGACACTACTCAAGAATTTCTATGTAATTCTACTAATAAGAAAGGTGAAGAAATGACAGTGGTGAGTGTTACATCCATCTGGTCAAGAAGTTGGCCTTGAAAGAAGGAAGTTAAAAAGTATGATTAAATAAAGCAATGGAATCAAATTCTTCAAGATTGGGAAGACTTTGTCCTGCTTACTAGGTGACATAGTTTGCATATGTTTGTCCCCCCAAAGCTCATGTTGAGAACTTAATCCCCACTGTGACAATGTTAAGAGGGTGGGAAATCCTATTATGGTAATTGAAAGGTGGGACCTTGAAGAGGCGATTAGATTGTGAGGACCATGCCATAGTGAATGGATTAATCCATTCATAATTTAATGGTGGTCGTGGGCATAGTTCTGATGGCTTTAGGAGAATACATTCATCCTTTGTTCATCCTTGTCTTTAAGCATAGTGCCTGGCCCATATTAGGCACTCAAATATGGGTTACATTAGATTTTCCCTTCTCTCACATAATTTTCTCTTCAGTTCTATCAAAGTTTGTAGTTTGTACCTACCTCTATGATAATATACATGGTACTTGTTGCATTAGGAATGTTTAGTTACTACTAAAAAGAAAACTTGTCCAATAGTGGTTTAAACAATTATCTCAAAGCTTATCAATCCAAGACAGATACAGCAACTCAAGGAGTCATCAAAGAAACAGCCCCTCCTATCTTACTTATCTACTGTCCTAAGTGTAGAGCTTTTATTCTCATGGTTGAAAATGGCTGCTGCTCCTTCAGTCATTTTATCTCCATTCTAGTAAGGAAAAAGGGAAACGTTAGAGGGCAAAGAGTAAAAAGTATGATCTTGGAAAGGCTCCCCAGGGATTCCCACTTATGTCTCATATATAGAACTGTGACAAATGGCCACCTCTAGCTGCAAAAGTGGCTAAGAATTGAAGTATTTGGCTTTTCAGTCTCTGTAGCATGGGAAGCCAAGGGAGAATGGGTTGAAGTGGGTATTTATTGAGCCAACCTATAGTTTGCCTGACAGGTTTTTCAGTTACTTGGTATAAGTTTATCTTTCCTAGTATACTGTAGGCCTATGGAGAGCAAAAATGTTTTGGTAATCTGTGAATTGCCTACAATGACTAGCAGGTGGCTACCACAGCACTTATCACAGTGTCTAAGACATTGTGGCTACTCAATCAATGGTGGTGTATTTTTTTAACTTTAATTTAGAAGAAAAACCAGGAGGGAATTAGTGACACTGGTTTCTCTGAAAATGATGGAATCCAGAGATTTCCCTTTGGTGACTCATTCCTCATATGAACATTGGAAAGTTACCTGGAGCTTTCCTGCTTCATCGAGTTGGCCTATTAGAAAGGACAACTTAATAGTGATATTGCTCCACATTTTTTGAAGTATAACTCAAAAAACAGGGTGGGAAAGAAATCATAAAACTGTGATTTGTTAACAAGGGCTTCTTCAAGAGAAGTAAAAAGGTAGATAAGAATGAGGATAATGTATTGGAATTGAACAAAAGATCAGCAATTGAAAGTTAAGAATAGTCTAGTTTAAAATATTTTCTTCATTCCGAGTTCTAAGAGAAGAAATAAGAACAATCCAAAATCTTTGAAATCCAAAGAGTTTTAATTGCTGCTCTATATCTGTACTATTTCTCTTTCAAAACAGATATTGTTCCTCTTCCCTCTACCATCTTCTTAATTATAAATCATGGGGAATGAAGATGAAACAATTGAATGTCAAGATTCAGAAGCATCCACAGGGATGAATCACCCACCCCCTGCGCATCAAGAAACGCAGGTAAATCTATGATCAGATACAGACCATCCCAGCCATTGCTTTAAGGAGAGGACTGTGTTATTTCCAGCTGTGACAGATTTGTGTTCTCTTTATTCTCTACTACTCTGTTAACAATTTCCCCCATTCTTAATCCCCAAACTCATACAGTCCAGGGCAGGTGTGACTACCAGTTTTCCCAGCTAGAGTCATTAGCAACCGACCCTACCTGAGGATGGAAAAATGGAGAGCCTGTGAAAAGCTTTGTGTTTCTGGCATAATCCCTAAAATGACTTGGGTTTTTTCCCTCTCTCTTTTTATTGCTTAAATTCAAGTAGATGAATGAATATGAATTGGTTTTCACCACAGATACTTATCTTTTCCTGAACTACTTTGTTATATGTACCAACTATTGCCCCGAGTTATATCTTTTTCTTTTTTTTTTTTGTCTTTTTGTCTTTTTTCCGTGTCCGGCAACGGATCGCAACCCTGAGTGTTGCCCCCGTACCGGACCGGGGACCGGCAACGGGATTGCAAGCCTCGGTGTTGCTCCCGCGCCTCGCTCAGCCAGTGAGTGGGAACCGGTCTGTATATGGGATCCGAACCCTCGGACGGGAGCGCCGCCGCGCTTCCCAAGCGGCGCACCATCCAGTGCGCCACCGGGCCGGCCCCCGAGTTATATCTTAAATATGCATATTTTTAAATCCAGTATTGCAAAATATACTGAAAGTTTATGTGATTCGAACATTTATAATAGTAAAAATAGAGACTGTGCTAAATACTTCTGTTCCAAACATTGGCTGATTAGCTAGTAATAAAGTTGTGCATTTTCCTTACAAAGCGTTATCCTTGTTTCTAGCAATGGAAATTTAATTTGTAATGTGATGACTCAGTAACTGTGAAAATGTGTAGAAAATACAATTTTTTAAGGATTTCTAAAAATTGCTCTAAATACAGGAGGAGACAGTTATCAACCTCAAAGGTGTAAATGGAAATGAACCAACAGAAGGAAGTAACCTTTTGAATAGCAGTGAAAAAAAACTACAAGAAACTCCAACTGAATCAAATCACTTACAAAGACTGAGACAAACATTGGCTTGCCCTCCACATGGTTTACTGGACAGAGTAATAACAAATGGTATGTAAATGGTAAGGATTAATTCAGAAAGAGAAGGTAGAAGATACAATTGTTATAATGAGAGATTCCAAAATAATATGGTTTAAAGAACAAAAAGTTTACTTCTCTCTCACATAAAAACTATTAGGTGACCAATTCATAAAAAAAAAAAAAAAATTTCATTCATAAAAACTATTAGGTGAACAGCGGTAGGTGGCTTTGCTACACAGTCATTTAAGGGTCTAGGCTGACAGGGCTCCACCATTTTCAACCCGAGCTTCCAAGATCAGTGTAATCACCATTCAAGCCAGCAGGAAGGGAAAAGAATAGAGATCAAGGACCTTTTCCTTTATCTGAGTAATTTCACAGGATTACTTAAGGGCTACATAGGAGCATTGCATAAATAATTGGTTGTTACTACTGTTAAGTGATGCAACTAATATTTGAGCAAACACAGTCCAATTTATCCTTCCAAATGAATCCTGTCATTTTATAAGTGAGGATTTTGGTCTGAAATTCAATTTATTCCAGTAGAGCTGCCATTACTTAAAACAATTTGGGGATTTTTCTTTTGGAGGGTATCTCTATTTTGAATATTTTTAGTGTTGGGATATATGAGGGTACTTCAAAAAGTTCATGGAAAGACTTGTGTTATCTTTTAATTCTATTTTTCCACAAACTTCTTGTATTTGTCTTTTAGGAATGGATTTGATTTGGGGAGGCATCCAAAGGTTATTCTTTGGATATCAATTTGACAAATAGATGGATGTTCAGATTCAATAATGGCCATTTTTGTTAAAAAAGCAAGTGTTTGTGTTGTGTATGTTGGGAGGGAGATGTACAATATAGTAGGAAAAAGAAGAGTTTTGAAAAGTGTCTATAAAGGCAAATTTTTTTAAGAAGATACTTTATTTTTTTAGAGATTTAAAAATTTTATTTTATTTTATTTTTTACATTGTCAGATAAAATTGTGTGCATTTACCATATACAACATGGTGTTTTGAAGTATATGTACATTGTGGAGTGACTAGTTCTTGTTAATTAACATATGCATTACCTCACATAGTCATCATTTCTGTGGGGAGAACACATTACATATACTATTTTAGCATTTTTCAAGATTACACTGTATTATTAACTATAGTCACCATCTTATGCAATAAATCTCTTGAGTTTATTCTTCCTGTCTAACTGAAATTTTGTATCCTTTGACCAACATTGCCCTGCCCCCCGTTCCCCCTGCACAATCACCCTATCCCCTGGTAACCACCATTCTACTCCCTGCTTCTATGATATCAACTTTTTTAGATTCTACATATGGGTAAGATCATGCAGTATCTTGTCTTTCTGTTCCTGGCTTATTTCACTTAATGTAATATCCTCAGGATTCATCCATGTTGTCACAAATGACAAGATTTCATTCTTTTTGATGGCTGAATAATATTCCATTGTGTGTATATACCACATTTTCTTTATCCATTCATCCATGATGGACACAGGTTGATTCTGTATCATGGCTATTGTAAATAATGCTCTAATAAACATTGGAGTACAGATATATCTTTAACATATTGATTTCTTTTCCTTTGGATATAAACCCAGTAGTGGGATTGCTGGATCATATAGGATACTTCTATTTTTAATTTTTTGAGTAACCATCATACTGTTTTCCATAATGATTAGTTTACATTATTATCAACGTGTACGAGGGTTCCCTTTTCTCCACATCCTTGCCAACACTTGTTATCTTTTTTGTCTTTTTGATAAATCGCCATTCTAACAGGTGTCAGGTGATATCTCATTGTGGTTTTAATCTGCATTTCCCTTATGATTTGTGATGTTGAGCATTTTTCATATATCTGTTGGCCATTTGTGTGTCTTCTTTTGATGTCTGTTTAAGTCCTGTGCCCATTTTTAAATTGGGTTGTTTTCTTGCTATTGAGTTATTTGTGTTCCTTATATATTTTGGATACTAACCCCCTATCAGATAGATGTACAGTTTGAAAATATTTTCTCCCATTCTGTAGGTTGTCTCTTCCCTCTGTTGACTGTTCCCTTTGCTGTGCAGAAGCTTTTCAGTTTGATATAATCTCATTTGTTTATTTTTGCTTTTGTTGCCTGCACTTTTGTGGTCGTATCCAAACATTGCCCAGACTGATGTAATGGAGCTATTTTCTATATTGTCTTCTAGTGGTTTTATAGATTTGAGTCTTACAATAGAGGTGAATTTAAAGACAATTTCAAAAATTGTGTAGCAGAATTACAGCATCATCAAAGTAAATATATGGCCTCCCATATATATTATGTTTACTGAAAGGTGAGACTCAATTCTTTATAGTTATGCTCCATTTGTGAGCTCTGAAAGACATTTATACCATTTTCATCTGGGAAAATGAAATCCAAATATAATATGTTATACTTTAGGCTCTGGATATGTTTTTAATGAAATCAAGTAAGGTTCAAATTAGCATGGAAGGAAATCTCAAACTTGAGAGCACACAGAGAAAACCAGGTTCCAAAATATACACTAGCCGATAAGGCAACAGATAATTTAATACCTTTTCTGTCCTTATTATTATTTTTTTAAACTTTTACCACTCAAATTATGATACATTTCTAGTTAAAAACATTTACAATAAAGCAGATAGGGATTGACATATTAAAAGGATAAAAATGAATGATGTGATTTTGAGGTTCATTTTTTAAAAATTTGTAATCATTGTTCATAAAGCTGCCTGAAAAATGAGGCTCATAATAGGAAAACACCTCATTACTTGTTTTCCTGTACTTCTGCTCCTCAGGTTTACAAGACTACTTTTGTCCTATATTCTCTCCTGTACCCATTCAGTATATAAGTATTCTTTTTTTTTTTTTTTTTTTTTTTTTTTCTTTTTTTGACCC